CAGGGTTCCTTAAATCATACAGGGGCCCCAAGAATATAAGTGGAATTTAGGGGCTGTGTTTTAGGGATGATTTTAATACCTGGGGCTTGGGTTATTCTAGGGTTGGTCTTCGCTTTCGTCCTGGTTTACTAGGGTTTGGTCTTCGTTGTCGTTTGGCATATTGGTTTATTAAAGTAATTTTACCTCGCTCAGAGTCCCGCAGCTGAACGGCCCGAACGTCGACATCTCCGCCGTCTGAGACCCGCGCGGATCTCAGACGATCGGGGTTTAGGGGGGTCAGGGGTTTGGTATTCGGTAGTTTTGATCTAAGAGTTTAATTTAATTTAGTATAGGGTTGGCGCATTCAGGGTTTGAGGGTTTGTAGTTTTCCATTTTACGTAAGGGTTTTTAGGGCTTAGTTCTTTGGAGTTTGGGTTTGGGGGTGGCGCAATGTTTTAAAGACCCTAAACCCTACACCTGTAACCACTAAATCTTTTGAAACCTCTACCAACCAAATAAACCTAAAACCAAACCCCTAAACCCTTAAATAAACCTTAAACCCAGGCTCTGAACCCTAATTGAACCCAAACCCTAAACCCAAACCACTAAACCCTCAACCCAGGCCCTGAACCCGAAACCCAAACCTTAAAGCTTAAACCCTACGCCTTAACCACCCAAGCCCTGCACCCTAAACCAAAAAGCCTAAACCCTACACTGACACCCTTACCCCTATACTAAACTTTTAAAACCTATACTAATTAAACCCAAAACCAAACCCCTAAACCCCTAAACTCAAGCCCTGAACCCTAAACCAAAACCTTAAACATTAAACCCTAAACCTTCAGTGTTCTNNTCAGGACTCGACGTCTTCAACTTCTTCGCTGGGAGGCCGATGGGTTTTCATCTAGGTAGGGTTTACTGGGAGAGCCCATAGCGGGCCCCAGTCAATGGATTGGGCGAGCTCTTTGCGGCCCCAATCTGGTGCGGGCGAGCTCTGTTGGGCCCCGCAACACTGGGTGAGCTATTTGGCCCCAGTGACTGGGTGAGCTCCGTGGCGGGCCCCAGTACCAGGTGAGCTCAAACGGGCCCTTGGTAAACCTGCTGGGTGAGCTCCTTGTCGGCCCCAGCAAACCAGGTGAGCTCCACCGGGCCCTGGTCAACCTTGCTGGGCGAGCTCCACTCGGGGCCCCAGTACCCTGCTGGGTGAGCTCGTTGTTGGGCCCCAGTACCAGGTGAGCTCCGCCGGCCCCTGGTCAACCTTGCTGGGCGAGCTCCACTCGGGGCCCCAGTACCCTGCTGGGTGAGCTCGTTATGGGCCCCAGTACCAGGTGAGCTCCACCGAGCCCTGGTCAACCTTGCTGGGCGAGCTCCAGTCGGGGCCCCAGTAGCCTGCTGGGTGTGGGCCCCAGCACCAGGCATGCTGGTGAACATCCCCCATTGTGCTTGAACCTGGCAGGTCTATGGCGATGGACGATTTTTGATCTGGATGGTCTTGGAGGCCGGTTCAGTTGTAGTATTGCTCTTGATTTCGAATGCATTTCCAAGTATGTCATTGGCAGGTCTTCGGTTTCGGCTTCGAGGCAGGTTACTGGCATCGCCAAATCGATTCCAGTGGCCTTGCACAGCCAGGTTGCATCCTTCGGCTTCGACTTGGAAATTGGCGCCAGGAGCTGAGGGTTGAGATTTACAAGCTTCAGTTCAATGATTCGGTTATTTTCTGTTGATGAGTGAGGTCCATTGTCACAACTTACGTCCTGGAGTCCATGCACAGCGACGGTGACAGCTTATTGGGCTGGCTCCTCAAATGCTTGGCAGTCAATTGGACCATTGGGTGATCATCCTGCTTTCCATCTCGATGGAGTCCGTCCACAGCTGTGTCCGCAACTTATTTTATTGGTTTCTCAGCGTTTTGAGAGTGATTAGATGATCGTCAGGTCCACAAATTCGACTTCGATTTCGTCTTCGGTTTCGAGGCTCATGATTTTCATTTTAAAGTTTATTTGCGAGACTTGCATCACAGGCTGGCTGTTTGAACCGCTCGGATGGCTGCAGGCAGCTGCCCTAGCTGAGCATGCTCAAAATTGGTGTGGAACCATGTTGCGCATCTGCCAGGTCCAGCATTTCTTCTTCTGCATCATTGTCTCGGTTCGCGTGCCTGCCGGAAGAGGTCCCTTCAGCTTCTTCTTGTTGCCGAGAGTGTTGGTACTTTACATGCGTGCTTGTTGCTGCTGACTGCAAGCGTTGCACACACCTTGCTTGGATTGTGGCCGGGCTCAAGTGCACATAACAGACATGAGGTTCCGCAGATCACATGCAGTGTCATGTCATTAATCTTAAATCAGGGTACATAGGTCCTTTCATGACTTCCACCTTCTATATCTAGGCATAGATTTAGTTTAGCCTGGGCATAATGATGTGATAACCTAGCTCCTGTACTATAGATACATAGGTCCTTTCAGGACTTTCGCCCTCACTCTTCATGTATCTGGGTTAAGATTCAAATTAGCCTGGGTCCTGTCCAGTAAATATCATTGAAGGCTGGCATTTGTGCACTTCAGATTTTAGAAGTTGTCCTGCACCTCCTGCGGTCGCCATAGCTCCTTCCCTGGCCTTGGCACTCGCCTTCGTTTTGGTCTTCGTGCTGCTCAGATTAATGCATTGATTCAGTGCAGTCGGCAGCATATGAGTGTTCTACATGTGCTGGGTGGTAATCATTCTGAGGATGTCGGCGAACTTGGAGAAGTATCAATGCATCGACCTTCAGGGGGTGGTGGTGGCGTACGGCGCCGAATACGATTACCCGAAGTTGAGCACTTGGGTTGCATCTGGCTTGTAGTCTTCATAAGCAATTTTTGCCCGTTATGCTTTTGGCCGATCACACCTGGATCACTCAGGTGCCAGAGGGCCTGCGGGAAAAGGACGAGACGTGATGGGAGGCTACGTCCGTCACTTCTACCCGAAGGCCGTGCACACAAGCTATGATGTGAGAGGGCTATGGCCTAAGAACGTCAAGGACGATCAAGGCCGTTCCCTGTCGCCTTCGCGTGTCTCGCCTTTATTATTAAGGTATGTACTGAAGACGTACTTGTACCTTTGAAGCTTAGCAGGTGAACCTCGTGTGCCCGAGTCTGCCGTATGCCCCGTCAGGTTCGTCTTCGATCGGGGTTTGGAATCCTCTGGAGAATGAGGAATTTTTTCTTCGCATGGTGGAGGAGGGCTGGTGGACCATGATTGCGGTCATCGGCTTGGCTTCTTGGATTATGGGACGAGGATATTATGTTTGTGGCTGGGTGCTGGGACTTCTCTGGTTTTTTATCCATACCTCGATCTAAGGCCTTCGGACTGGCGGGCCATGGAGAAGGAGTCAGTCATTGCCTTGCCCTATCTTGCAGCTCAGCTTCGTCATCTTCGAATCGCAAGATGCACATGTTTGTTCAATGCTTACGCTTTTCTTTGAGTCATTGTATTGAATCAGGTGCCGCTGGCAAGCATCGCAGCCTCAGCATCGCCTTGGTCTTGGTCTACGTCTTCGGCCTCGAGCTTTGGTGTCCTTCCGTTTGCGAGGATCCGTTCGAGACACCGGACCAGGTGCCCATATTCAAACATGCCAGCAAAAAGATCGACAGCATGATTGGGCAGCTCTTAAAGGCCGCGGAGTTCAGGCCAGCCTTTAGGAAAGTGCTTGTCTCTGCACTAAGCTATAACGAATGATTATTTTTCGCCTACATTCAATCCACTCCCTGAGGCTGTCTTGCACAGTTGCGTACACGGGCGTGGACAAGTGGATTAAGTCCTGGCCTTCGCAGCCAGCGTCTTCTTCGCCTTCGCAGCCAGCCGCGGCTTCGTCTTCGGCACCTCCTGGGCCACCTCCTGGGCCACCTCCTGGGCCTGGGCCTTCGCCTTCGGAGCCGACAGAGGTGCGTTCGGCTGCCTTCTGCTACCTTGTCAGTCCTGCCCGTTTGACCGACAAATTGTCAGGCCATGCTCAAGATGAAGTCCGAGCTTCCAGAGCTGTACGATACCTTGACGGAGCTCGACGTCGACAAACCTTGCTGGACTGTTATGTGCTCCTTGTCGCAAGAAAACTCTGCCCTGGCCCGAGAATTTGTCTTCTTCTGCGAAAGGATCCTGGGCTGCGGCATAGCCTTGTCTTGGAACATGTAATGATGACATGTGTGGTATACTTAAGCTTTTCATTATTTATTTTTCCAAACACAAGAGCTGAGGAAGCGGCGTGAGTCGGGCTACACATCCCTTCGAGGTCTTTGGAACAACCCGTCGGCAGTGGTCATGAAGCACGCCCAGAGCCGCTTCAACAAAATCACCGGCCGCTTAGCTTAGAATCTTAACTTGAGTGTAGCATCAAGACATGGGGCACATGTTGTTGACTTCTCAGGTCACCAACAGGGGACCGGCAAAGGGACGTTCGTGGGTTCGTCATCGCAGCGTACCAGAACGCCTCGCCATGACCGTGACCGGGGTAGCGGCCATTACCCGGCGGCCAGCTGGCAGAACAGACGCTAGCTCTGCTTAATGCTCGCCTTGGCCTTGGTCTTCGGGCAATAGTCTTCCAGGACCAAAAAAATCTAGATAAGGCATAAATTCTTCCCTCGAGCATTTTGCATGGGCAGTGCGACATGACTGGCCCCATGATATGATGAGACCCTGTCGAATGTTCGCCTTCGTCTTTGGAATCTGTTCACAATGATTGATATTGATCAAGAGGCACTAGCCATAACCTTTGAGCATTCGACATGGGTACCATGTGCTGGCATTCTTCCTTCGGGACGTGACCAGCACTGTCCTGGCATTCTTCCCTGTGGACGTGACCAGCAGCTGCCACATGCAAAAAAGTGCCTGTGCCAATGCGTGCAAAGCATGATATCGAGTTGTGACAATTGTGCACTGCCCCTTAATTTATCAGTGACTCTCGTGCCAGGTCAGATCAGACCTTGGGGTCGACCAAATGGCCTGTAACTCAGCTTGCAACTCACAAGTCCGTCCACGTACAGATGCAATCTTATCACCCGAATGTCCTGCTAGGTCTTGCCATCATGATGACTTGGACTTCGATTTCGTTTTCGACCAGGCCTGGCAATCTCGGTTGGACAGAGAATAGTAATAAGTCGCGTTCGTTAACCCATGTCATTGGTCCATTGCAGTGCTACATTTGAACTTCGATTCAGCACAGCTTAAGTTTGGAAGTGCTTGCAACCCCGTAACATAGCAAAGGTGTATTTTGGCATGTAGCTTTCTTGTTATACCTCACGGGACATTTGGACTTGCATGGAACCACTTGAGTCGTTAATATGATGGCTAAGGGAGCCCGGGGGGGCATTCAGTCGTGCTCCGATAGTAGAGGGTTCAGGGTCTGAAGACATTGTGTGCCTTTATGACACAGCTCGGGATCAAGAGCAGAACATGAGATGCACGGGGGCTATGCAAGACTCCAGTCCTAGCTGACTTGCCACTGAAGGCCTATCTATCCAGGGTGCAGACCACCCCAAACTCCAAGCCCCAAATCTAAGCATCAACAAATCACAGCTCTTCTTCAGGCTGTCCCATCCCTAGCTTGGACTCCCTTGAACACCCGGGCCTGTTCAGACATCCCTTTGTCACTTCGGAGATTCGCTGAGAGCTTTCTTGAAAGATTGGGGGCTTAGAGTTCCATGCCGCGAAAACGCCTGCGCGATGGCGGTGCTGGTGAGGACCGTGCTGCCGGCGAGGGCGAGGCTGCTGGGGACGAGGCTGCTGCGACTCCCAAGGCTGCTGGCAAGGCTTCCGCGGCTTCGGCTTCGCCTTCGTCAGCTGGCTCGGTGTCTGGCCCCAAAGCTTCGGCTTCGACTGGCCCGCCTGCGGCTTCGTCTTCGTCTGGGAGTGCAAGAGAACCTCGGCTGGCGGTCTCTAAATGCTTCTTCTCAGCTCTCCAACTGTTTTGTAAGATCAAGAATTCTTCTGAGCCAGTTCACCAGCCCAGAATCCCAATTCGAACACGAGCAAGAAGCGACAAGCTTGGCTGGCAAAGGCTGCGGCAAATAAAGGAGACTTGGCATTTGAAGTAGATTTAGATCGGTGTGAATAGTCGCGTATGGGTATGCCGGGTATGATAAGTACTCAAGGTCATAATGAAAGCCAAGGCAAGGCGGCGCCGGTGGGGGCAGCTCCTCCTGCTGCTAAGCCGATCGGGGCAGCTCCTCCTCCTCCTGCCACGCCAGGGCCAACTGCAGAGCCTTTTCCGCCGATGCCTTCGCCTTCGCCTTCGCCTGACCCGAAGCTTGGAGGAGCGACGACAGAGTCGTTTTAACACTCAGTAATGATCATAATAAAATGCTGGAATGGTCCAGAATTTCTTTCCTTTCAGGCGTCGCAGTCGCGGACTTGCACTTCAACCCTCCGCCACCTCCGCCTGTGCCTTCGGCTTCGTCTTCGTCTTCGGGTGACATCTTCCAGGAGTGGACGAGTCGCTTTCAGGCGTTCTTGTCCCTGAAGACGAGAGTTTGCTGGATGTTGTCTTCGGACGACTTCGGTGTCGCTGGGTTGTCTTTTGCGATCTTTCTTTTTGATTTCTCATACTATTTTGTAGAGAGCCATAATAGTAAATAATTTTCAAAGGGCTTAAAGTGGACAACTCAGGTTGCCAAGCAGCATGGAGGAAACCCGACCGCGATATCCGGCGTCGAGGCCGATCCTCGCACGCCGACGAGCCAGGGTGAAGCAAGAGACTCCTTGCAGGCGGGGCGGGGTAAATATTAATTTCTGTGTTTATCAAGGTTTCTATAACAAACCAAAGACCGAACTACTTAGTTGAATGTTTCAAATCAACCGGACCTTCATTCCACTGAGAACCTGGAGCGGCTCATCGCGCAGCTGCGGCAGTGGGAGACCCTGTACGCCTTCCACAATCCCGAGCTCGCGATGTATGCCCAGTACGTGCAGCACCACACGGCGGTCTCTTGGTTTGCTCCGTAAGTTTTGTCCCTTGTCCAACATTTCGGAGGTTTCAGTCATGTCGGTAGTGACTTAGTGATGTTCTTAGATGCCCTCAACTCAGACTGGGCAGACGACTTCGCTTCGTGGCCTTCGTGGTCCGCCCAAGCCCTATCGGCCGCTACCCGACTTCGTCTCCAAGGGCCAGGGCAAGGACAACGTCGCCTTGGGCTTGGACAAAGGCAAAGGTAAGGACAA